CTACAATACTCGAGATCTTCCCTTAATTTAATAAGCATATTTGAATTTCTTCTGTTGTTTGGTATATTCTTCTAATGCTGATGTTTGATAATTTATTTCTGAATGTATCTTAGGGTGAAATAAATCCCTTTAGAATTAGTATTAGAATTTTATTATTTGTATTTTGTTTTTTTATGGTTCCCTTTTCCCCCTCGAATTGTTCGCTGCCCTGAGTCCTCCCGGAGAAGGGCGGCATACAAATAATAAAATTCTAATTCTAATTCTAAAGGGATTTATTTCACCCTAAGATACATACAGAAATAAATTATCAAACATCAGCATTAGAAGAATATACCAAACAACAGAAGAAATTCAAATATGCTTATTAAATTAAGGGAAGATCTCGAGTATTGTAGTTATTATGACTCTTACTACTTGTTGCCAAACATACTACAGACATTTTGCTAGCAAGAAAAAACAAAACTCTCTTACCCTTGTATGCTGCCCAGTGTAAAGCTCTTCGGTCCCTTTTGTCGAAGGCATTAATATTTGCCCCTTTAGCCAAAAGTAAACTCACCATCTAAAACAAGCAAACAATCCCCAAATGTACATCAGTCAATAGTTATAGACTACGCAACAATTGACTTAATGTTGATTTGTACTTCACAAATGTATTTAAATTGATTTGTTTTACAGAAACCATTGGATACAAATTAGCAGAAAAATTCTGAGTTCAGCTCACAGCTCACATAAAGGGAAATGGTTCTGCCAGACCAGACAGATTTCAATTCAATTCAATTCAATTCATTAGATTTATAGGCCGCCCAAAATCCCGGAGGACTCCGGGCGGCTAAAGTAAAATAACAATGTTCTTAAGGCACTTACTTCAACATGGCCATTCAGAGCTGCATGGTGTAATGCTGTCCGACCTCCTCTGTCGGAGACATTGACACTACTCAGAAGGGGAATTATCACTTCGGCACACTTCACAGCTTTATTTGCAGCTGCGACATGTAGGGGTGTCTGCCAGTTCTTGTCTCTGGCATTGACGTCAGCTGAATGCTTAATCAATACTTGTACGGCTTCCTAGAAGATCCCACAATTAAATCACAAGGAAAGCATTTATTAGAAACTACAGATTAGATTTACAAATCTTATACCAACATTGGCCTTATACTGAAATATATTACTTCTCTCCCGTAAAGTAAAATGGACCCCATTATCTTTATGCATACTGTGTTGAATAGCTATAGAAATGTTCCTCTAGCTTGACTGAAGTGTTTAAATCCAACAATGCTCAATATGGAAGAAAATGTTACAGTCAACATCCTACTTAGAGATAAATTCATAGTCCTGTATGATTTCCTGTAAAATCATACTTCTCCAATACTTCTCCAACCTGATATGTAGGATTGCAAACTCCATCATTCCCAGACTAAATATTCAACCATGTTTATTCAAAATTAAATAGCAATAGCAGTTAGACTTATATACCGCTTCATAGGGCTTTCAGCCCTCTCTAAGCGGTTTACAGAGTCAGCATATTGCCCCCAAC